ATGTGCTAGGCACTGTATGTACAAACGTAGTGAGAGGCAGTCCCTACCCTGAAGGGCTAAAAAATAATGAGACAAAAGGCAGGACGAAAGAGAGTTTCTCAGATGGGGAGAACTGAGGCACAGATTAACTCTCTTTTCTAAGGTCATACATGAAACGTGTAGCAGAGTCAGAAAATGAACTCAGATCTAGTGCAGTACCTTAACCACAAGCCCATCTCCACTTGGATGTCTTAGAAGGGCATTGGAGAGACTAAAGACTTTCTTCTGTGTTGTCTACTTTGACCAGTTACCTAAATTAAATCAGTTTCTTATTGCTTGTTCTCGCCTATAAGGAGTAATAGTGCGGGAAGGAAACCAGATATGGTTAAATGCTCTGAGCATATACAATTTTAGCCAAGTATTTTTCTTACAGTGCAAGAAAAAGTCTATTGAAAACTCCTAACAATGAAGTGTCATTTTATTCCGTCTCTATCTTGATACTCCAGTATCTTGGCCAGAGCTGTTATTGAAGACAACTTGCTATCTGCAAGCAAACTATACAACAATATTACCTTTGAAGAGTTTGGAGCACTATTAGAGATCCCTGCAGCCAAGGTATCTTATTTGTTTCCTGCGTGATAATTTTTGAATGGGAAAAACAAATTCCTTTGGCAAATAGTGATATTAACAAATATTTTTGGCTATAACTTTAAGCAGTCAAGCTCTTGCTTGAGCAAGAGTGTTGATACAGTGTATTTAATTGGCACTGTCGGGCAGTTATTTAATACAGTAGAACCTCAGAGTTACGAACACCTTAGGCATGGAAGTTGTTCGTAACTCTGAAATATTTGTAATGCTGAACAAAACATTATGCTTGTTCTTTCAAAAGTTTACAACTGAACAAATACAGCTGACTTAATACAGCTTTGAAACTTTACTACGCAGAAGAAAAATGCTGCTTCCCCCCTCCCCATTTTTTAGTAGTTTACGTTTAACACAGTACTGTACTATATTTGCCTTTTTTTTTTAATCTCTGCTGCTGCCTGATTGTATACTTCCAGTTCCAAATGAGGTGTGTGGTTGACTGGTCAGGTCGTAACTCTGGTGTTCGTAACTCTGAGGTTCTACTACATCAATTGTTTCATGCTACAGCACAGTTTTCAAAGACTAGAGGGTCTTGTTGAAGGTTCTATACTGCAAGTAAGATGTCTGTAGGAGACTGAAAGACTATCACAAGTTCAACATGTTCAGAACACTGAGCCCATTTTGAGGGGTAGGGAGGGAGGGAGGGAGAGTACTTATCTTCACTCAGCACCAACAACAAGAAGCGGATTAAGCAGTAGCATCAACTGATGCCAAAGGGAGTCCAGCTGGTTAGCTTTGACCTAGAGCTTTGGTGGCAATAATGCAGATTCTTAAACAGTAAATTGGCAGGGAGGTGTGTAAGGGTTGGGGATACTTTAACAGCTTCATAAATATATTGAAAACAAAATGAATATAATTTCTCAGATCTGTCTCTCTAATTCCTGATTTGCAGACAGACCACATAGCTTCTCAGATAATAACTGGGGGGGCACATGAATGGATTTATCGATCCAATCGATGGAACAGTGCATTTAGAAAATAAGGTTGTCCCTCATTTTTTCATAGTGCAGTTCAAAATTAATTGGTTGAGCTGTTCTCTATAGCATGACTAAGTTATATTTTAAAATGAGGATCTACTACTGGGGAGCATTAAGTAACCAGCAGGCTCGGTGACCTCAAAGCAACTCTTAGGGACATATCAACAGGATACTGAAATGATAAACAGGACCATTCCTAGAGTTGCCAGGTGTCCGGTTTTTGTTAAAAGTCCAGTCGGCGGTGCAGCAGGGGCCCAGGGCTAAGGCAGGCTCCCTGCCTGCCCTAGCTCCATGTGGCTCCTGAAAGCTGCCGTCAGGTTCTCATGGCTCTCTAGGTGCATGGGCGGCCAGGAGGCTCCACACACTGCCCTGCCCCAGTGCCAGTTCTGCAGCTCCCATTGGCCGGGAAGCAAGACCAATGGGAGCTGCGGGGGGCGGCACCTGTGGGCGTGAGGGCAGCACATGGAGCCATCCATGTGCCTACGGGCTGCAGAGACCTGGTGACTGCTTCCTGGGTGCCACCATACAGCGCCAGCGGGACCCAACAGCCCGGAACCCCTCCTGCACCCCAACCTCCTGCCCCAGCCTAGAGTCCCCTCCTGAACCCAACCCCCCTCCTGGAGCCTGCACCCTGCACCTCCCCAAGACTCCAACCCCTTGCCCAGAGCCCCCTCCTTCACCCCCAAATCCCTCATCCCTGGCCCCACCCCAGAGCCCACATCCCCCACACCTCAAACCCCTGCCCCAGCCTAGAGCCCCCTCCTTCACCAGAAACCCCTCATGCCTGGCCCCATCCCAGAGCCAACACCCCCAGCCAGAGCGCACACACACCCTGCACTCTGAACCCCTTGGCCTCAGCCTGGAGCCCCCTTCTACACCACAAACCCCTGCCCCAGCCCAATCAAAGTGAGTGAGGGTGGGGTAGAGTGAGTGATGGAGGGGTGGGGCCGGGGCCTTGGGAAATGGGCGGGACAGGTGTGTTTGGTTTTGTGCCGTTAGAAAGTCGGCAACCCTAGCCATTCCTTGTAGACAGTTATCAAAACCATGTTAAGTAGACTTGAATCTTTAACGTTTGCCTGTATTGTTAGAGAATTAAGAGTAAATGTTAAGTGAATTTATCTGTGTTTTCAAGTCTCTTGTTAGAAGTTTAACAATGTGATCTAATTAGCCTGTAGATGCTAAAATTCGGTTCCTGTCTCATAATGCTTCATTAATGTATTCTATTAAGATGAGACTTGTGGTATAATATTATTATTGTCCTCATTTCTCTTTGAAACTTGTAATTCCACATAGTGAACTACCCATGAACTGTTTTAGTAATTTGAATGGCTATTGTTTAATGTATTGTCTGAGAAAGGACCCATTGAAAGGAGATCAAACTGTCGGCTTGGTTTCATCAAAGCCCACTTGGTGGAATTACCTGTCACCACCTCGCCTGCTTCAACTATAAAAGAAGCTTCAGTCCTGATCCTTTTCATCTTAGAGCAGCTTAAACTTTGATAGGGAAGGTCTAAAGCCACAAGACTGAGGGCTCCAGATTTACTCTGGATTTACCCTGGAATTCTCATGGAAGAATGTGAACAAACTCTGCACCTGTGCTACCTATTGAATTATAACCTTTTAAATTGATCCCAGAAAGATTTTTACAAATCAGCAGCCTCACCATCTCTGCCATGAAACTGACCTAAGGATTATACACACATTTGTATGTATATTGAGCTTTTAACTCTTTTTTCTTTTAATAATAAATCTTAGATTTAATTAATAAGGATTGGCTGTAAGCGTGAATTTGGGTGAGATCTGAAATATTCATTGATCTGATGGGCAATGGTCCTCTGGGATTGGTAGAACTATAAGTATGGTGAATAAGCTTTTCAATAACCCCTCACTGGATTGCCTAAAGGGGACTGTATTTGACTTCTGGTTAACCAGCGTGGTATTAGAGAAGTTATTTTGTTATTGGCTTGGGAAATCTAATTATAAAATAAATCACCAATCTTGGGGATAGTCTGTCCCAATTCTTGCAGTCTGCCCTGTGCTGGCATTCTCAGCGTGGCTCATCTGGGCACCACAGTCACAACTACATAAACCAAATAATGATTTGATTAATCAGTCACTTGTCAGAATACTCAGCATGGTATTGTTAGGCCCAAAAATATGGAGTATAGTTGTTTGG